GTGTGTGTGTGTGTGTGTGTGTGTGTGTGTGTGTGTGTGTGTGTGTGTGTGTGTGTGTGTGTTTTAACAGGCTGCAGATAACAAAGTGCCAAAAGGTGCAGTTTAAAATTGGTTCTTTGTGAATTTGTCTGTTTTGAGTAGATGCAACACTGGTTCATCCCTTCAGCTGAATTATGCTAAAATGACTGATGGGAGCCTAAATGCATTTTTTCATATTTAATAGTGTGTTTGTGTTAATTTCATTTTCTGTATTTCACAAGAACACCATAATGAGTTAAACTGATTTCCTAATTCATTATTCTGAGCAGTATTTAGTGTTCATGTACAACTTAGTTATTTTTCAACAAGGTGGGATAATTATTATAATAAAATGTCATTTATTTGAGAGAGCCTCACAGTTTCCTTTTACCCCTCTGTCTCTCATCACCTCGCATCATTAATCGTTTTGTAAGCATTCAGGGTGAAACATAGCACTGCCACGATGTTCGTAAATAGCTTGGTGTCAAAGTAAAGAGCCTCTGTGAAGTTTAACAAATAGTCTGGTGAGGCTGTTTGTTCGGAAGTGCGGATTTATTTGAGGAGGAGCCGTCAAGAACGTCAAGCTAAGGCTTAATTCATTAGGATTTACAAGTGGCTTGCAGAACTATTACTCAAGACCAGTTTTTAAAAATTGACCAGAACGTTGGACTCTTTGGAAACATAGAAAAATGTTAAAATGAGGGATGACTCAAGACTTTTGCACAGTATTGTATTTAAAAAGTTCCACATATTAACCTCTAAACAGAAAAGACAGACCAACATTTAGTGCATATTCAGGCTCTCTTTCAAGCAAAACCCAGCTTGCATTTCGTGTGCTTGCATGTGTATACATGCAGACTCCAATCACAAATACATTCACAATACACCGCAGCTGCAACTCACCACACCCGAGCACAGTTATTGAGTTGGTATTAAAAAAAGGTTGACCAAGTGTACCATGCCAAAAACTTCCTGTAAAACACATCACTGAGCTTGCCACAGGCAAAGACCTGTCACTCTGGTGAACCACTACCTGTTTAAATGATAAAAGATGGTTTAAGTCCTTTTATATAATATTAGGTTGTTATAACTGGCAATTGGTTATGAAACTTACGTAATGATCAGTTTAGTAAAACAAAACGATAAGAGGGTAATGACTCAACAGTTTTACAACTGCCAGGTGGCTTTAAATATTTTCTTTAAGAACAACTTTCTGTTGTAGCCAAGATTTATTTTTATGTTAACTCACTCCGACAGCGTCTTTTACATCTTTAATTATTGTCGGTCTTCTATGTTTAACTTCTCATTTCTCATTATTTTTGTATCAAAGTGGAAATGCAATTCTCTGGAGAGGTTTTCTGCACAGATGAAAACCTCGAGTGCAACAGTTTTCATTAGCGCGCATGTGACTGTTTATTTCCAACCGAGATGATGAAAATTTGTATGCTTTTAGCTCATTTGCTGCTCTCGGGTTTAATTTTCCTCGATACGGCGCGGGTTCCATGCTAGAAGATCTAGGTGATGTGCTGTGAAAGATAACACCTTCGGAGCTGATATGATAGCGCCATCTTCTTAGTCCGCACCTTACTGTATAAATAGAACCATGTGTTTTTCTGCTAAAGTGTTATCTTCTGCTTTGTCCAGAGCAAAATAAACGAAAAAGTATTTTTATGTTTTCTCATATGTTGCATGTCCAACACACCATCAGTGTTTAACGCTCTGCTTGTTTCTCTCGACTCGAGGCCCACTGGCTAGCAGACCTGCATTTAGTGTGTCTGAAAGGTGTTTGTGATAACCATCATTTTCTGTCATTTGCATGTTAAAACAACCCCTGTAGTTTAGACCCGTAATGCCTTTTCGCCCTCAGATGTCACAGTGTTTTCATTAGGCCTGGCGCTTGGCTTGCTGAGACTCATTATGGCCCAAGGTAACCCTTTAAAGACACACCACAAAGTCAGGCCTCAGCTCTCGGGCTTACCTGAAATGCTGACGTTAATGCCTGTGCAGAACTTTTTGTTTCCACACCCGAGAGGCAAGAACTAAAGTATATTAACTCCAAAGAATGGCCTTTAAAAGTAATTTGACACAGATCTGTATATTGGTTATCAACAGGGTCATAATGATTACCAAATAGGTAAATTCTTCTTGTTTAAAAGGGGGGCCACTGTGTCTATCTGTTGCCTTGCCCACACTTCCTTGATGAATATATTAGTTCTCTTTAATGAAAGACCAAAGGCTTGTAGCACCCCACTCCTCACGCCTGGACTAATTGATGTGGGTAATATGATGCTAACTGTCTGAAGATAAAAACACAAGCGTGACGATCCCACCAATCTTGCCTTTGTTGACTGGGCAGCTTTTAACCTGATCTCGTAACGTGCCATTAAAGCTTTCCTAAGGCCCTACCTTTGTTTGTTTTGAACAAAGCAAACACATGCCACCAGTTCATTTCCAGCAAGACCTAACACCTCCACTGGCTGCATGCGAAGGTCCTGTTGCTTTGCAGTAGTGACTATGATACCACTCCTTAGTGAACGAACCACAAGGCACCCGTCTTACCGGGTCACTGTCGAAGTGCAGAGGACACATCAGTAGCAGCAGTGGGTCATCAGGTGGACAGGTCATGACCTGAGAGACGGCTTCATTAGACAAACTGGGAGCCAATTACTCCCCAACTGCCAAGCTAAAGGAGCATTAGAGTGAGAGGAAGAACACTCAGTCATCTCGTTCTGTGGCACGAACAGCAGGAGACCAGATGAAGGGTTCATTTTTTTCTTCCCGTTGTGCCATAATGTGAAATATGCTGCAAAAATACTGTAAACCCAGGAGATCTTTAATAGTTTTCTTTAACATTGAAATGCACCACACAGTTCCCGTGTGGTTTAAGTTTATGTTCACCCTTCCTGTTTCTCTGAAAAAGGGCATACTGTTCATTGTGCAGGGATTACCGGTGAAAGCGTTTCTGAAACAGGCTTAGCGGATGTGAGGAATCATCCACGCTGATTTAGAAGTGTCCAGAGACTCTAGAGCAGTACGTTTTGGGGGTTGGGGGCTCTAGAGTTAAGAAGACCCCTGGAGATACTTTTAGGAATCCTCCCTTCTTTAGGGGGGCAGGGTAGGTGTCTGAACTGGAACTGGCCAGTTCATCTGAGTGCGGACTAATGAAAACAAATGATCTGACAAGGTCAAAAGGTTGAGATCAAGGCTGAAGGTTCCCCCGCCCTTCTCAATTTCCAACATGTGAGATTAATGAGGGCAGAAAACAGCTATTTCTCTGTATCATTTACTCCCCGAGGCCTCTGAACCTTATGGCAGCAGCGTGTACCCCACCTGTTGGCCCATTAAGGCACATGACACTAAGCCAGAGGGCGTCACTCCTAGTCAGAGGTTTTAACTGCTTTGTGCTGTGAACTGACATGCAGGGACATATTTTGTTATGATAGCTCTATCCATAGGCTTCCTATAGCTTAATTTATAAGTACTCACTTAGCATTAAGAAGAAAAGAAAAACGCAAAATGATGTGTCGTAGGTTGTAGTCACAATTGTTAGCAGTGTTTCCCTTGAATAAAGGTTTGCACAGTGCTTTCAGGCAATAAATAAAAAAGCAGTAATGACTAATAAATATGCATTTTACATTTGCAAGTTTTGGATTTATGTGATAAACTCAGCAGACGAGCATGAACAAAAGACAAGTACAGCTAGTCCAAACATTTGAGCTCACACATCATTTTTGTTTGAATGTGGGAACATACCAGACGTTATGATGCTAACACTGTTATTTCACACTGCAGCTGTGACATTTTTAAGTGGTTTATAAAGCAAGACTGCTCCCTTCTGGACAGTTACCCTAAAAGCAGCAAAGAGCCCATAACACAGATGCAACAAAGCCTATGCCCTTACTTTTAACTTTCACAAAGGAGACAAATAGAAAGACCCTTTCATAGTTGATATTTTCAGTTCTGCACTCCAACCAGTTATAGGACAGAAAATATATTTCAGAAATATGTGTGTTATTCTTAGTGTCATTAAAAATTACATTATGAGCACAAGAACTTCAGTCAAAGTTTCGTATTTTTCACGTAATAATTAACTTTTCCCCCTTAATATTATAACTTAATACTACATGTGCCATGTAGTTACATTGCACTGGCAAACAAATGACACTAGATGGGGATGTTGTGCAAATGCAACAAAAGGGTGAATTGGCAATGTATTGGCACATAATGGACATTAGATGGGGTTGTGGCCAAGGCTGACTTACAGTAATTGAGCTATTAGTGGAGGTTTGAGTGCACGTTTCCTTATTGAAACTCCTGTAGCAGCTTAATTTGCCATAAGGGTAAAAATAAAAATACAAATGAATAGTAAATTTTTCTCAATCAATCAACCAATCAATCAGTAATTAACTGGGCTTCCCTTCACGCTTTCAGTGGACCAGTATACTGATATCTACAGAAACACACACACACATAAGAAATAAATACGAAAATGCAAAAATGAATACACATTTGATCCGTTTAAGCCTAATAGCTCACAGGAACCGGCAAGAATAGAGTCTTTATTCAAGAGTCAGCCATAGATACACTACATTTCCCACACTGCATTGCTGCGCAGCCGCTACTTGTCACTGCTGTCGCTCCCTGCCTGTGTGTACGCGCGGTGGACTGGTCCAGCATCCCTGCGCAGGCAATGGAGCAAATATAGATGTGCAAAAAATATACATATATCTATCAATTGAAAATATGTAATCGTGGAATACTTCTTCGGCGCTGGCAGCTTGCGATGAGGGAAAGGGGGGGAATGGGAGATTGGAATTTGTGCTGCACCTCTGTGGAGGATGGAGATATGTATTGTGAGAAGTAATGCGGAATATTTCCCCTCGTAGGTGCTAACAGAGAAAATACAAGATGAAGAAGCAATTCAATCGGATGCGACAGCTCGCCAACCAAACGGTGGGAAGGTAAGGAAACCGTTTCCGTGCGCTATTGTCGCGACTGGCCAAGTCAAAGAGAGGAGAACCCCCCTGCATGGCCCCAGAAGGATGCGAATCGGATGAATGCAAACAGACTTTCATTCTTTAATTTGCCCCTTTTTTCCCCTTTTTGCGCTTTTTGCTTATTTACTGAAGTATATTGTATACCTCATGTTCAAAACGCCCTAAGTGTTCTATGCGTAATACCAACTGGAATAGGCTACCGCATAGGCAGCGTGTAGGCGCATTGCCACAGTAGCTCCAACCTGCCCACGGAAATATGTTAAATATAGAAAATCACAGCGACATGGACCATCAAATAGTGACGACCCAATTTTTATGACAGAGTATCATCGGTGGAGTTTGACAAATATGGCATTGCCAAGTTATGTCGTGATTAAAATAGACTCCTGTCACCGAACCTGTCGATAGGTAAACGTGATGCAGACGGATGCAGTGTGGGCTGCGACGTGAGGGGAAAATGAGAAAAAGGCGCAATGTTTTTATTACGCAGTGATATCAGCTGTGAGGAGGGAAGCACCTCTTAGGCGTGAGTTATCCACTCCGTGAATTCCTGAAGGTCGTGATCACGCCTCCCTGATGCGCTTCTGGAATGATATGTGTCAGTTTAAATGGACGGTTTTCCATTCCACTGAACGTCCTAAAACTAAATTAGGGGTTTCTAAAGACAGATTTCCACCTCTGTCCTCACCGTTTCTTTTCATGTTCTTGCTCTGCTTCTGAATGGTTCTGAAATCCGGTGACATTTTACACCGATCCAGTGGGCTTATCAGTCTTCCCCCACCCTCTGTGTTCAGGGAAAGCAGCTTGTCAAGCAGCGCTGGGCCAGAAGGTGTTCTCTGCCCAGCAGGGGGGTGGGAGGGGAGGTGGGGGATTAGGACCAGGAGGTGTGGGTCATTATTATTATTATTATTATGCGCCCAAAAGGAGGGGCACACATTGCAGGCTGTGTTGGTGCTATCATTTTTGTTTCCCCCATAGGTCATACTGCTTTTTCTAGCCTCAGTCTTTTTTATCATCATTTCTTCTAGTGACTCATTAGAGTGTTTGTGTGTGTGGGTGTGATTCTGGATATGTGTGTGGGCAAGCAGGTTGGAGGACTTCAGATGGCCACAGAAGATATGGCACTTTTCCTTTTATGCATGTGTACGTGCACATATACAGCTTATTTAATGCAGATGGTCCAAGTGGTGCTAGTGTAAGTAGAAAATTAGCTCTTTTCTGGGGCTGTCTAAGTTGGTCTGTTTGTGCCACAGTGATAATGAGGAACATAACTCTCCCCGGACAGCCCTGCTGGGCTCTTAATAATAACAGTGGTCCATAACAAGAACTGCCACTCTCAAACCATAGTCAGAGATTTGATCTTTGGATCAAGAAGTAATGGATCTGACCCTGTGGTGACCTTGAACAGTGTCAAACACTGGCTATGCCATGTGGAGATAGATCACCATCTATCTGGAAAAACCAAATCTAGCAACTAATGACCCGATCATGCTGGTTTGACGATCATGTTTTGTTTGTTTTGAGGTTTCTTTCGCTAGAAAAGAGCAGGTGTTTCCATTCAGTAACTATGTCTGTATTTCTCCACCACTTATAATTTGAAGGATTTTAAGAGGTGTATAGAGGTGCTGAAGCATGGTTCATCTGGAGAGCTAAATTTAAACAGCTCTTACTTATATTAAACCACATAACATAAATGTTTCTTGATATTACCACCAATAAAGTAAACACGTATGCTGTATGCATACACTATGTGTGGATCCATGTGTTCTGCACCTACATGCCTTAGAGTGTTAGTGTGGGACAGTGGGAAAAATGTGTACATATCACAAATGTGCAGATTTATTGGACTTTTACAAGCATTTATACAAGAAACAGTCTTATCATGCCAATGTCATTTTGCTGCTCTTCCTTGCACACTGCTCTTGCAGAAGATATACTATTATATAGTGCATTAAGTAAAATGGACTTAATTTAGCTTTACCCCTGAGCTGTCTTTTAATTCCGCTGGTTTTGTCCTGTGAGTAATGCAGGGCTCCTATAGGAACGAATAAAGTGCCAAAACAGTGAAAACGGGCTTCATATTAACTGTTCTGCTGACTCAAGCTTTAACCATCCTCAGACTGGAGCAGGGTTTCTCTGTGGGTATGGCCTTTGGTCCCCCTGAAACTCAGTGCTCTCTTTAGATTTGATAATACCAGTGACAGGTCCTGTTTCTAAGAATATGTAGAGTTACATTTTATCATTTAGAAACAAGATTTAATAATAAAATTATGCTTTAGTTTATTTATTGCAGGTTTCTTTATTAAGAATAGACTCATAACTCATATCTTTTTAATAACTGTTTTTTACTATATCTGCTCGTCTTTTTGTCTTGTATTGGCATTTGTAATGGCAAGTCTATAATGAAGGTCTTCTTTTAGCTGGGGGTTGGTGTTCAGGTGTGCTGTGTCAGCATCCCTCTGGCTCTCCAAGGCGGCTGCTGCTGCTGCTGCTTCTGCTTCTGCTGCAGCTTGCCTGGGTGAGACCCATGTCATGTGATCACCAGCTTGACCAATTACCTCTGTGGAGCAAAAGGGTGTGCAGCCATGCATACTTTAGTGCTAACAGAAATGTGTTTTGGTACAGCAGGAGAGACCTGTATTATAAATATTATTTTTGGACATTAACCTTTAATTGAGATTTCGGTCTCCGTGAAAACTCTCCAGTACTTTAGTGTTTGCGTTTGTCTAAAAAAAGACATTCTAATTGTTTTGTGTATCCTTACAGGAAGCAAGCAAAATATTATATTGGTTCATCCAGCTCCCACCCTTCATTTCTCTTGACCTATTTCTCTATTCCCAACTCACTGTCCTATGTAGGTCTAGGACAGACTGTTAAAAAGATTTTATGATTCAAGACTGTAAGAATATGATTTCCTGCACAGTAACATTTACATATAGATACAAAAAAAAAAAACAGGACTATCTCATTCCCTAACACACCCACATTCCATCTTTGCACTCTGCTTCTGCCACCTTTGTGGTGTTCGCAAATACCTCTATGATAGATGCATTCTTCTTACTTGTGCCTTCTAGCTCACCAATCCACAATGCAATTATCTGAAAATGGCAGTCATTTGTGGGCTGCTTTCTCTTTCCTGCATTGTCTCTTACTCGGTTTCTATCTCTTTTCTGACGCAGTAGGAGAATGAATTATTGTTAAGCACGCAGGTGGCCGATTTACAGATTGTGGGTGTGGAAAATGTCCACATTTTTTGAAGGTTTCAGTCCCGTTATATCTGGTGTAACACTAACACAGAATTTCATAAAAAATAACATCATATCAACAGTCAAACATGGTGGTGGTCAAACAGTGTGATGCTCTGGGGCTGCTTTGCTGCTTTAGGAAATGGTCGACTTGATGTAATTGATGGAACCATGAATTCTGCTGTCGACCAGAATATCCTGAAGTTAAATGTCTGGTCATTAGTTCATACCCTGAAGCTCAAGCACACTCGGCTTATGTAGCAGGACAATCTAAAACACACCAGGAAGTCCACATTTGAAAGGTTTTTGAGTGACCTAATCGAAGTTTAGTACTAATATTAGGTTGAGATATAAGCTTAAACAAGCTGTCCACACTTAAAATCCCTCCAATGTGGCTGAGTTAAAACAATTCTGCAAAGAAGAGTGGGCCATCATTCCTCCACAGTGATGTGAAAGACTCATTGCCAGTTATCAGAAACGCGTGATTGCAGTTCTTGCTGCCAAGAGTGGTGCAACAAGTTATTATGATTAGGGCTCATATTATTGTTTTACACAGGATCAGGTAGGTATGGATAAGTTGTTGTTGTTTTTTCCTTAATAAATGAAATCATCATATAAAACAATGCATTTTGTATTTACTTGAGTTATGTTGGGTTTTTCTACTATTGAAATTTGTTTGATTATCTAAAACATCTAAGTGTGACAAATATGCACAAAATAAATAAGCAATGAAGCAAATACTTTCTCACTGCACTGTATAAAGTAGAGAGAGGAAGGGGCAGAAACAGCATTGAGCACTAATATGTAGCTGACCATATTAACACTGAAAACAAATTACTGTTAGAATAAGAAGTAGGTGTCTGTGCTTGTTTTTAAATTCAGTGCAAGATTAACACATTCACACCTCTTGGTGAGAATGTGTGCCAGGCTCTAAAAGGGCATATGGTCGCTGACATGTAACTTGTTGCATGAAAATGCAGCGTCCCCCACCTCTCAACTCTCTGTTCCTCCTCTTAGCCTTGATTCTCTGGGTTGGAACCATAGAAATCTTGGAGCAAGTTGCATTCACAATCTGATTCACTGCTGTTATTGTCTTTTTTGTAATCATTTCTAGCTGAACATGGAACAGCATTATGGTGTTATGAATTATTATGAAGCCATCAACAGTCAGAAGTGAATCATTATGTGTGCGCTAGATCATGCGAGAGCCATTGCTAAATAAGTGTAACCCTCCCATATCCCCATCAGTGCCTTTCAGAGACAGCATACTACAGGGTATGGTAGAGATAAAGAGCCTTTGTCAAGGGGCCATTTTGGCCATCAAAAGAGAGATGATGTAATATCAGAGAGAAGCGCTGTTTCTCCCTCTCCATGTCACTCGTGTTGATTCATTCAAAAGACTAACCTCTTAAAGAGCCCCTGTACTAAAGATCAACTAAAAAACTCGGTACTGATTTTTTGGTTTTTTTTGGGGTTTTTTTAAAGAACAAACAACAAAAATTGCAACATTTTGAAGGAGATTGATTAATCCCATCAGATCCATATTCTCCTGTGGAGTTTTATTTTCGTTTTGTCCCTATCGACCTGGCTCCTGTACAAGTGATCATGTACACAGCAGGGTGGCAAATAGAAGAACTCACATGATAATAATGGTGTCACAGAAATTCTGCAATATATCACAAGACAATCTTCTCTGATACATAATGAGATCTGTGTAACTGAAGTAATTTGCCCTAAATTGGTAAAAAAAAAAGAAAAAAAAAGAAATAGGGATTGTGTATTTATTCACTGCGCTTTAATGTCAGTGTGAGCGTGTGTGTGTGTGTGTGTGTGTGTGTGTGTAATGTCATTATTGTTCATTCCAGTAATGTGTCAGTTGAGCTAATTAGAGATCTGATTCGCTTTCCACCACCATCCACCATTTTCCTCTTGTGAATATCTTCTTCTTCATTTAAGTTTCCATTCGCATTACCCTCATTTATCTGAGAGGCCTGCCCCCACAAAAACCCATAAAATAGCAAGTCAAAATGTCAGGGAAGCTGTTTAACTGTTTAACAGCGACTCAATAACTGGATTGCAAGAGAAAGCAGTAGAATAGCATTGCTGCATCAATATTTTGACGTGACATGTCAAAGTATTAGGGTTGACCCAGGCTGTTGCTCATGATATCATCTCCAACAGGGATGCAGAGAATGAATCACTAAAGGCTAAATTTATGATGATACCACTGTACATAAAGTTCTCTGGTATATAATTCTTAGTACTAAACTGCTATAAATGAACTGGACAAGCTTGGCATTGTTAAAAAGAAAAACGAGACGGGTGACTCCCTTTAAGCATGCTCACTTCCGTCCATTCAAGAATGTCAATAGGCTCAGAACAGGAAGCACTGATCTACTAATAACAACTTCCTGTTTTATTTACCTCTTTTTCCCCTTTGCTGTTTAATCACAAAAGATCATTCTCCAGCTCCTTTTTTTTTGTGCACAGCAAATATAGTCGTTCCTTTGCTTTGGTTGCCTAGAAACGCTCATTTAGTATTAGCTGTTTCATCACATTCGTTTGACTCTGCCAGCGCACATGTTACATTTCCCAAAATGGTGAAGAAATTTATAGCTTTAACAAAAAAGGTGGCAAAAAAAGGTTTCATTTCTAAGTAAAGGATTGTTTTGACCTTTGTTGCTTTGTCGTAGTTTATTGTTTGCTTGCATTTGAAGTCATTTAGCTGCTGTGTGTGTGTCTGTGTGTGTCTTTCGGCAGATGACAAGTGTAAAAACACAGTTAAGCCACATTGTTGCGCGCCTTTTTGTCGAAATTATTCAGCGCACCATGAATAAGGTTATTAGAGATAACTCAGTGCTTGTGTTTCCAGTGAAACATTACTGAACACTGCAGGCTCTCACTCTCTCTTTCATTCACTCCTTCTCTGGACGCATGTGTGTGTGTATATGTGCATGCCTGTGTGCATGTATGTGCTCACAGTTGCATACTTGACAGAACTGTGACCTAGTTTAGTGGACAACTACAGTAAGTGGGTTTTTCTGTTTTAGTAACCCCGTATCCCATCGCCTGCCCCGCCTCATCGTTTGGGTAGAAACCAACTGGGCCTTTAGATGCACGATGCAGGTCTAGAGAAAACAAAAAGCAATCAGTGGAGAAATATTCACGGAGGATCTCAAGCATAAACACCATTGTGGGTTTTTGTGTGTGTGTCATTGCTTGTGTGTATGTATATAACTGACTGTGGATCTCATGCCAGCGCTCCAGGGTGTGCAATGCCCCGCTGAGGCCCAGGGCCACCATTCTGCTCCACTACCCTCCCCTAGCAGTCCTAGCATCCAGTGTAGCTCTTCCAGGCCTCAGAGTAGGGGCCTTTGTTAGCCATGCTAGCAGTGTGAGCAAACCAGATAATGACCTTTTTTTCCTTTTTGTCCTGCTGAATCTCAGACGAACTGAAAGTCAGCAACAGCCAGCAATTGGCTCGCTACCAATGCAATATGTTCTAGACAGCGGCTGCTTCTTTATTCGCATTTTGATTATGTCAGCATGGATTATTTATGCTTTCATAAACCATGCTCAGTGCTGGGGGGCTAATGATGCAGCTGTCCAACATTGACACAGCTTGAGATAAAAATATATAGATGCAAGCTAACATTTTAACTGCAACTTAACAGAAATACAACGACTTATAATCTCTGAAACCTTACAAATATGTCCTAAACAGACCTTACCTAGACTTTTATTCATGTCAGCTCTTTGCTAATGTTCCTCCCAGATGTAGAAAAAGTTTGTCATTCTGGCAGCTGATCATCTTGCGCAAATATTGTGTCAACTCATTTATCTTCCTCCGCTCTCTGGGATCGTTCATGTTTGCATTGCTCCGATTTGAAGTCCTTTTCACCAGTGTTACATTTTGCATGCAAGACTGTAATAAATGTCTGCAATTTGAACATTACTTCATTAACCTGCATATTTTTAGATGACTGTGCACGTGTTTGTATTGAGTCATCACCAGTTCCAGGTAAAGGAATGCCTGCATAGTGGCAGATGGTTGGCATAAACCTGGCAACGTCTCCCTTTCCCTCCATGAGCATACCACCTGCGAGGCTGCCAACTCTCCCACGTCTTTATTTTCCTCCCAGGTCTCACTTTGCACGATATTTGCTGAGAAGAACATCTCTCCTCACCTCTAAGCTGTCCCTGAAGCTAGACTTACATCAGGTTCGGTAGGGCCAAGAGACTTCAGTACCCCCCAGTTTTCATGCCTCAACAATGCTGCTTTTTCTCTGCATCTTCGCAGCAAGATTATGTGCGATGCTGCTTTCCTAAGAGGAAATGCCACTCTCTGAAAACAAACAAACTCATAGAACAAGACAGCGCTGCCTTTGAAGATAGGCTCCAATCTGTTTGATGTCTAGGTCATAATAGCCACACCGCTTGCGGTCCTTGAGGATGCTAGATGTCTATGATTTAAATTGTTATTGCCTCCTTTTAAACAACAAATCCAGTCAGCTGATCAGCCTGCAATAGACAGTGGCAGTGACAATGCAGAGCAACTACCTACTTTCAGTACATAATACAGTCTTGCATGGGAGGTTGTTTCATAAACCATGGCATTTCAGGGTTTTTTTGTCAGGTGGAGTGTTCAGCAGAACGGTGCCAAACTTTAGTGTGCTGCTTGGGTTATTTTTGTCCTCCCTTTGTCATGTAATCTGCAATCTGCGATCGCAGTTATCCTTATAAATCACGCCAGAAATCTCTTGCTTTGCTATCTTTCTGTCGCTCTCTCTTAGACATGCACACACACATTTCCTGTATTTTGCCTCCTAGCTCATTGAGTAGAGCAGTTTTCCGAGAGGCTGGCTGTGATTAGATCCACTGGTACATGATTTGACCCAGTTCCCATGGCTCCATGCTCACTTTTTTTTTTTCTCTGAGGCTGGAGATGCTAATGCCTCAATAGTTCAGCTTTCTGTTGTTGGTAATGTGTAAACAACTGTGTGTCAACATTAGACACTTTTTAGTCATTTCATACTTTGCCTCTTTTTAGCAACAGTTTTAGAGAGCTGTTATGTTGCCTGTTTGATAACATACATGAAAACAGCATTTTGGTAATATGCTTCTGAATTATTTCCCCTGGCTCGTGACAATTATTGCACAAACCAAGGTCCTTTATATAATTTGCTTTGCCAAGATAAATTCAGATTCATTATTTGCGGTTGGCATGGGCATAGTCTGGGCACAATCACAGGAAGAGGCTGTGTGTACAGGAAGGGAAGTCCCAAGTAACTGTGTTCTGCTGGGGATCTGAAAATGCCTCATTTTAGGAGGTCAGATGGTCTGCCCGATCCCTGTTTCTTGGCAGAAAGCATATGTTAACCTCCACATTAGGTATTCCTTATATATTGTTTATATATTGCATGCATTAAAGTTTGGTTGGTGTCAGATTCTGTAATAGTTTACCACAAAAAAGAAAATGTACAATAAAATTGTTCTTAGGAGACAAGTGGCTATTCTGTCTTTTCTTATAGGATCATAAACGGCATGTTAAGCTATATGGAAAATGTCCTTGCTGACTAAAGTCATAAAATGAAAGCTGATTGAACTGAGCTGACACCATGTATTTGTAAAATCCAGTGGTTTGCTCTTTTCTGAACTAATGGCTCTTTCACTTCTCCGGATGAGTAGCTTTATCTGCTTCATCTGCTCTGCAGCCCTTTCCTTCAGTCTTTGGCTCAATCCCCATCTGCTGGATTTTTAGTAGGATGTGATGCAGTGGGAATTAACACATTTGAATCGGCGGCTTTAATGTGCTGTTGTTATGTATTGTTGAAGATGATAACTCAAAGAGACACTTGCATTCTTACACAAACTCACCCACTTACACCAAAGAGACAGGTGTGCATGCGGCCTATAAATTTTGGAGCATTGCCACATTGGTAAATGAGCCTTCTATACCCACAGCATTTTGAGAAAGATACGCAAGAATTGTAAAATGTGTTAAATTATTCAAAACTAAACTGGCATGTCATCAAGAACTTAAAAAGGTAGCATGTCTGATGTTATTTCTCCTGTGTGAATCAGAAACTGTGTGATTGTGGCAGCTGTTCTGTGTGTATATGGAAGCACCAAGATGCCGCCTACCCAATGAAGAGCATACCAAAGCTTCGTAATTCTTTGTGCGCGTTGTGCAATAATTCCTTTCATTTGTTTTCATCAGAAAACAAAAAATAACATAAAATAATACAAGGAAGAGAGAAGCCGAATACTTTAAACCATGGGTTAGTTTCCCAGTGAGAAAGTTTGCTTCTCTTTCTTGAATGCAGTGTTTAATATATGAAATTTAATAAGCTCTGCATAGGAAAGATGATGAATGAACATTTTCCAAGAATTTCTGCTATCTTGCAGTAATGTTTTATTGGTCTAGAATTGATTCCCATATCTTTCCCTACATACTGATAAAATTGCCACATGCAATCATGTTTCTGTGGATTTAAGAATACGAAAGAAAACGTATTAATATATAAGTTTGTTTGTTTTTTTATCTTTACAGAGCAGAAAAAACAGAGGTGTTGAGCGAAGACCTTCTACAGGTGAGCTGTAGATGTGTATGGGAGCTGTGATGTCAGATGTGTATATATGTGCACCTGTGAACAGCAGTGAATTATTAGTAGTCTGTAATAAATTGATAATGATTATTAAACATCAAAAATAATGTCCGTCAAAATCACCACATGGTACATTGGGAACAATGTACTTTAATTGCTATATATTCTGTACTTTTTTTAAAGTGCACTTGAGTCACAGTTCTGCCAGCTTTCCAAAGTGTTTTTTATTTGTATTTTTTCTTTGGACATTGGCTGCTTTTTCAATTATTTTCAGTCAAATCCTCAAACATGACCATTTTCAGAGGATTTCTTTTTTTGCTTCTTTGTTTTCCTCCCATCATGCCCAATCGGTCAGGGCTGAGGGCTTCCCTTTTATTATTTTGACACAGAACAGAACAAAAACCAGCCAAAATTCAAAGAAGAGCTCTAAATGTCCTTCAAGAAGCCCAGAGAACTATTCCTGAAGACTAATTGAAGAAATGGCAAGAAAGCTTGCCTTTTTTCAATCCTTTTTTAAAATATCACAGGTTTACTGTCAGTATGTACCGTGAAGAGAGAGCAGGCGCTGATTCATGATGCTGCGTTAGAGCTGACAGTTATGTTGCATCTGTGAGGATACATGTGTGCATGTAAGCACATTCATCTGGTCTGCGTGTGCTTTCCCAGGTGGAGAAACGCCTAGATCTGGTCAAGCAGGTGTCACACAGCACTCACAAAAAACTGAATGCCTGCCTGCAGGGTCAGCAGGGGACTGATATGGAGAAGAGATCTGTAAAGTCACCTTCTGTGAGTACGGGCGTCAGTCCTGCTGGCAACTGTTGAAGTTGACAGAAGTGTGTGTAACATTTTTTCTATGTACCATCAGAAAAAATTACCGCTTACCATCCTGGCACAATGCATGGAAGAAGGGGCTGCAGTGTTGGGGGAAGACTCTCTCCTGGGGTTAGTGACTACTAATATGCCTGTGCTTAACTCACACACACACAGAGTCATCTTTAATTACAGATTTGGCAGCTGAATTCTTCTCTGTCCTTATTATCCTTGTGTGCATTTTAATTGTATTTGATTGCTTATGACTTTGTGCTTGGCTTTTACCAACAGAAAAATGCTGAAGCTCTGTGGGGAGACAGAGGAGAAGCTCGCCCAGGAACTCATTCAGTTTGAGTACCAGATAGAGAGAGATGTGGTGGAGCCTCTTTATGTCCTTGCGGAGGTGAGCAGATAGTGTTATTTTAATGTCCCAGTTAAAAGTTGCATTTTGGTGTTTTTATTTCCATCGCTATTAGCAGAAACAAAGTATAATGAGTTGACTGTTTTCATATTAACTCCTTGGATTTTTTTTTTCAGGTGGACATTCCTAATATCCAGAAACAGAGGAAGCACTTAGCTAAACTTGTCCTGGACATGGACTCAGCACGAACAAGGTGAACAGTGTTCAAACAGTGAGGCTAAAACCTGCTGTGGTTAGTGTATTGCTAAAATAAAAACTTGGAATGTCTAAAGCAGGGGCGACTGCTTCATTTACCCACAGATATCAACAGTCATCCAAGTCATCCAGTCACCCCAGCACTCTGCAGCCCGGTGCCAAGTCTGAGTCCCTAAGAGAGGAGATGGAGGAGACAGCCAATCGGATGGAGATTTGCAGAGTGAGTCAACGATCAGAGCTACGTGTATATCATGCCTTCATCCAGCTACTTTTGCTCTCCTCTTTGATTTATAACACTTGCACATGAATCAGACACAAATGGGCCACAGTCATGGAATGATATTAAAGTTCTATCTATGATGTTAGTGAGATTATTTCCTTAAGACGATTTTTCTTTTTCAGGATCAGTTGTCAGCAGATATGTACAATTTCATGGCCAAAGAAATAGACTATGCAAACTACTTCCAGACGGTAAGTCAAATATGTCATCAAATTGGCAAATTGTTTTGTTTTTTGTCTTTTGGTGTAAGAGTTCATTTACACCAACAACATTAAATATGGGAGCTACACAACTGCTTCATATCATGTAGGTCCCACTCATGTTGTCACTTCTAACCTGTTGGGGTATGGACAGGACATGTGGCATTAAAACTTGATATTTTGGCTCCTTTGTGATCAGGCCTTCTCTGGCATATCCAGATTAGGATTCTAAGAGGCTCGGTTAGGTCAACGCCTTGGTGTCTTTGTTGTGTCGATTAAAACCATGTCCGAGCGGGTTTGTTATTTGGCGGTGAGCATTGCCCTACTGGTTGAAGCCACTGCCTTCAGGGCATGTCATTGCCTGAATTGGTGGGTGTGGTTGGTGCGCAGCGATGAGTACTACGTGTCAGTGAATGAATGAATAAGACGATGAGTGTTGCTGTCTTAACCTGCCGGACATTTTAACGTTGCGGCTGATAAGAATCAGATTTTTTTTGCGTTTAAGCACAAGCTGTAGTAAACATTGAAGATGACTTTAAAATCATAATTGTTTGGTGCATTATCTTATATTTTATTTCCCCCTGCTCTCCTCTGTAGCTGATAGAAACGCAGGCAGAATATCACAGGAAGTCATTAGAGATTCTTCATAGTGTCCTACCCCAGATTAAAGCTCACCAAGGTGAGTCATGCATTGTGTCAAGAGCTATGTGTGTGTGTTTGTGTTGAGATCTGCTCCATTTCTGTACCCGAAGGAATACCAAGATGATCAGTAAAGAATACACTAATAGGCCTGGCATGTTACATAACAACATAATTAAGGAACAGTTATGCACCTTGATATTTAATTAATGGTTAATTTACAATTGCTAGACAAAAGACATGATGCATAGGGTTGTTTTTATCCACGTGTGATTCTGGGCACTGTTTGGTATTGCAGAGGCGTGGGTGGAGAAGCCGTCGTATGGCAAGTCCCTGGAGGAACACCTGACTATAAGTGGGAGAGAGATTGCCTTCCCCATCGAAGCCTGTGTCACCATGTTGCTAGAGTGCGGCATGCAAGAGGAGGTAGAAGAAACGCACATATACATGAATCACTTGTCCATAATTAACATTTAATGGAAATATTCAAAATCTGCGTTGTGTTCCTGCTCAGATGTGTTAGATATGATAATTACACATCACGTGTTTCCTGTGTGGGGGCTGTAGGGCCTCTTTAGAGTGGCTCCATCAGCCTCCAAGCTGAAGAAGCTGAAAGCGTCCCTGGACTGTGGAGTTCTTGATGTGCAGGAGTACTCCTCCGATCCACACGCCATCGCAGGTGATCTACGCCCACATAAATGCATTGTTCAAAGCACATTTCCATAACAACAATCCCAACTCTCTGTAATTGTTAGAGGCTAAATTGTAAACAGCCAATTATTTTCACTCCATGATCAAAAGTTCATTTGTAAAAAGCTGAAGTGTTTGCAGTCTTTTTTTGGACATAATGCACTTTGCAAATGTGGTTCTTTGGAAAATGTCTTCCTCTGCGTTATCTTCCCAAGAGCTTTCTCTTCAGATATTGCTGTTCATTTCACAGATTAGCATGAAATCTGTGTTGAGCTGTCTGACTTTGGCAGATGCACTAGCTATGAGGGCCTGCTAGAGGGGAGTAGAGATATGGAGCATGGGCTCGCCAGTAGAGAGAAAACAACCCTCCACTTCTTTCAAAGAGCTGACCAGTTTTTACGCTGTCCTTGTTTTTTTAATCCCACAGGGGCCCTGAAATCATACCTTCGTGAGCTCCCAGATCCACTGATGACCACTGAACTTTATGATGAATGGATTCAAGCCTCCAAGTGAGTTGCTGTACTCTTAAGAGTATTTTTTCAAATTGTGCCATTGGCAGTGATTAAAAATAGAAACCAGTTCAGCGTGTTAGTACAGGGCCCCTAACTGTCAAAAAGAAAAATGATGACATTTATAAAGAAGTAGAGTAACAGTAAACCGTAATGACTTTATATTTCCTCAGCATTCAAGACATGGACAAGAGACTACAGGCGTTGATGGCAACATGTGAAAAACTCCCCACAGACAACTTAAACAATTTCAGGTCAGTTTCTTTCCCTGATTTTCTGCCCATTGATTTGCAGGATTGCACATGTTTCAGTGTAGCCTTACTATCATAAACAAAACATTAGGAGATCAAAAACCGGGAAAGTATGTAGAAACAAAACTGGACCACATCCAAGTGAAAATCCAGGTGAAATCCTTTCAATCCTACAAATATCTACTCAACTTGTGCCACCTACAGGAAATAATATTAACAGCAGGATCAGCAACTTTAGAAGTACAAGAATCACTGACAAGAAAATTACTGTAATGTCTTTGCAGTACTCGTAGTTGTACCTCCTGCAGGCAATAACAGTCTTTACAGTCTTATTTACTGCCTGCAGGTGGCACGTCTAATATTGCTGCTATCATTTTTTTTTTTACTTTATAATCAGTAAATGGTACAAGCAGACATGTCACATCTAACCAAAAACAGTGGGTTATACTTTTAAAATGCACAGTTAATTTTATCCAATCCTACAGATATTTGATCAAATTCTTAGCCAAGCTGAGTGAGTATCAGGATGCTAACAAGATGTCTCCTGGTAACATGGCTATTGTCCTTGGACCAAACTTGCTCTGGACACACAATGAACCGTATGTATTCTTAAAGCAACTAATAATTTTATTCTTTGGATTTAAACCAACGATTGAGTGACTCTGCTATAGCTCACTTGTCTGCTCTATCCAGGAACATGACAGAGATGATGACGACCGTGTCCCTACAGATTGTTGGCATCATCGAGCCAATCATTCAGCATGCTGACTGGTTCTTCCCTGGAGGTGGGGATTACACACTATGTATGTAAAATTGTAACTGCGCTGGGCATCTTATCTGTTTTATTGTTTAAATTATATCATTGTAAGTAACAATTAGGGGATTTGAGATGATAAAAAAATTGCCCATAACAAAAAAGTGTTTAGCTTTATTCAAATGGAGATAGTTTTGCATGTCATAATCATGCAAACATCTCAAAAATCATATGGCTGCATGGCTATTCTCCCCAGCCTGATAATACAAGACAATAATGATACAAACAAACACCATACAGCAATACAGAAAACTGACTAACCCAATAAAAAACATACATAAACATACTTAACAATGGACAAGACACTATGGACCCTTAACAAAGGTAATGCCTGTTTTTTGTCATGCTTCAGAAATAAAAGAACCACTGATGTTTCATATTTCTGTATGTTGAAGGGACTGCAAGAAACTCACTCTGGTGATATTTAAATGTATACATCTTCTTCTTTTTTTCATTTTTGTGGATTTGAACAGCAGCACCTGGTTGGTGTATCAACTACTATTATACATTGATTCACAGCACAGTGCAATGCTGATGTTGCAGCATGTGACTTAAATTGAAGATTAACTGTTATTGATTGGATGTTCTCCGTAGACTTTCATATGCTAAAAAAAGCATTAAAATGTCATTTTAGTACTGTATTTGTTGCATAGCTTAATCTTAGTTTTATTATAGTTATTTCAGTTCTTCATACTAACTGTGGGTTTTTTTGGAGTAATTGTGTGCACTCAAAACGCACACAATTCTAAACATTACTGTAAGTATAATAGACTACATGCTGATGGTGTGTCTGCTTCTGCCTCAGAGATTGAGTTCAACTTGACAGGCAGCTATGGAAGCCCGATCCACACCAACCACAACTCCAACTACAGCTCTATGCCCTCACCAGACATGGACCAATCCGATCGCAAGCAGCAGCACGATCAGAGTCGACGCCCACTGAGTGTCGCCACTGACAACATGATGCTGGAGTTTTACAAGAAAGATGGGTATGATGCCAAGTGCTCACTTCTGCTACCCACCTCTCACTCTCCTTCAGTCTCTCTCTTTCCACCCACGCCTCTTCTCAGGCAACGGATACTGAATTCTTATATTTGAGGAGAGCAGCGTTTGCACATTAAGATCCTCCGATCTAAAGTTTTCATTCGGATGAGTCAGAAGCCTTCATAAGCAGCACAGAAATCAGTTTCTTGTTAAATATCTTATCTCACAGTAATATATACAGGTGTACCTTTAATTATCAGGATTCATCAAGAGAAGCCTGAAAACTGCCCTCATTTAAATACGTAGGGCTGAATAAGTTTGAATGGCATGGTCTCTATGGCAACAGGTTTCTGATGGAGAGCTGCTAGGTTTTTTTCTTGAAGAGGAAATATTTCTCCAATCCCATCCTCCCACACCCAACTCCTCGTTCACAGTCTGGATTGCACGTCACCTGGCGTGACTCATTCACTGAGACGGTGGAATATCACTGGAGAAATTAGAACCAACACCTTGAACAAAACACCCCAATCAAGTGAATACAAAGGATGTAACACTAAAGGCATCAATCTAAATTTGTTTAAGCAACTATTCAATGTGGGGGAGAAGCCTGAGTTTTTCTTAGACTATAAAGGTTTAATTGGAAGAAATAACCCTCTAAATGGCATTCAGCAGATTAGCACATACTGGTTATATGACCTGACTTTCTCTCTGAATCCCTTTACTGTTCCCTCTACTGTTGATCTCATCTCCCTGCCATAATCATTGCTTCATATCAAATATTAAACATTTTGTGACCCTTGTCTGCATTACTTATGACCTCATGTCACTTTTGCCTCTCTTCTCCCTTACTAACGCAGCATTAGGAAGATACAAAGGTATTGTATCATTCCTTCTTCCCACGACTTCTTTCCTTACTATCCCCACTTGCCTCACATGAGTTTTGCTGATGTCACACATGAGTCTGTACATGTTTTTGTCTCCAGTATGGGCGTCAGGGTTATGGATACCTCCTGGGTGTCTCGTAAGGGTTCATCCACCCTGGCGCGTAAGGCTTCCTCCACTCCTCCAGGCATGCAAGGCCCCGGCTCCCCTGCAGACACACTCATCCCCGAGCAGCCCGGAGAGCTTGCCATCTCTCCGTCTGCCACACCTCCACTTGGAGAAAGGGTTTGGTAAGTCACTGTGGAGACCCTGGCCCTCGCTTCTCCATGCATCCACCCGTGTTCGTTTTTATTGTCATCACCATCATTACCATCATCTTGCACTGGTTCTTGGCCGTGTTAACCATGCTTCCATTCATATGCAATGCTTCCATCTTTTTTTTTGGGTTTTTTCCTTCACCTTTTTCTTTTGGCTTTTTTTTTTGATTTTTTTTTCGGCCTTCCCCTTTTTTTGGGTTTTTCTTTTTTTCCTTTTTTCGGTTCCTTTTGGTTAAATTTTGCCCAAAAAAAGCCCATTTCTTTTCAAATCTGAAGGATTTTAGTCCTAATACTGTATAAACAAGTTTTGTTTATCTACGTGACGCAAAGCTTCAACCTGCTAGTTGTTGCGTGCATGCTAATCTATCCAATATCCCATTGTTGTGGCTTGGCTTTCTCAGCTTTGGTCGTGAATTAGTTATTTTTCTGTTGACACGCAGACTGATTTCACAATTTCTTTGGTATCATTATCACAATTAAACACATGAGTAATCACCTCATGGTCACTGGCTCTGCCTATGTGGCAGACAAGAAATATTATGGCTTCTGGCTTGGCTGTCTTTCTCCCCCCCACCCCCATTTCCTGTGGCTCTTTCAGCCTTTGAAAGGGTTTTGTGTCTGTTTCACACTGCCCTGGGCTGACTGCAGGACCTGCGATACAAACAAGTCATATAGGATTAAGGCGGGTAGGGCTTCCATATCCAGCAGTGAGGAGAGTTTCAGTCATCAACTCAACTTGGTATTACTGAAAGCTGCAGACCAGCACTTTGGTTCCAGAGAAGGATCCTCACAGCTCTATGCAGTGTGCAGACACAAGGTGATCACAGAGGGAGTCCTACACTGTATCATTTTTTCTTTCACAATGAAACTTAATTTTCTTTGCTATTTCTTTGTGCTTGTCTTTGTATTTGCAATAAGCTGACTGTGTACCCACTGCCCACCGCAAGATGCAGCACTTTTTTTTTTGCCTACTGGTTTCGGCTTCGAACTGACTAACACACTAACACACCTTAATCATCCAAACAGCTCATCCTATATCGCTCCAGTGCGTTTCCCTGTTCAGTCAATAGAGCTGTTTCTTTTGTGCTGTCTATTCTCTTAATATCTACAGCTCAGACAACGTGTCGCTCAATCGGCCGGACACCTCTCATGCCCACCCGCCCCCAGGGGAGGACCGTCCACCCCCCCCTTACCCCACTTCTATGTGCCACACTGCCCCCCACCACTTCTATCCCAAACCCCCGCCCTGCGCTCGCCCTGTGGCACCAGGTCCAGAGTCCCAGCCGCCTGGCTCACCCCCACCCCCAATGCGCTGGTCTGGCTTCACTCCCCCTGTTCCTCCCCCTTCCTCCTCTTCTTCCTCCTCCTCCTCGTCACTTGACATCAATTCGAACCCCAAACCTAGCTGTCTTCACTTCCCCAAACACAGCCCGCCTGGTGACATGTCGCATGCCCCCCCACAAGACACTAATGCTTCGCCCCTCTACGTCAAAACCCCCTTGGTACTAACCCGTCATGACCAGAGCCTTGGCAACCCCCCTAGCCTCCCTTCATCCGTGCCCCCGCCCCCGCCGTGGGCTGCCTGCCCCTGTGCCAGAGAGAGAGGACCCCCCAGGCTGACTAGGTAAATACAACACACGCCTGGCCACTATGGATGCATCACAGAGTGGCAGCTGTATTTCTCCTTTAGCTCGCTGGCTCATATTTTTGCTTTTTGCTTTCTTTCTTTTTTTATTACCTCTCCCATCAAATTGCATAGCTGAGATTCTGTAACACACAGGTTGTCTCAGGATGCCTGTCAGCTGGGTTGCCTAGCAACCAAGGATGTTACTGGCTTATATAGCGCTCAGTTTGTTGCTGTTATTGAGTAGATGATAAATACACAAGGAATGGCTTCGAACTAGAATAGAAATGTATTTATTGTCAAGTCTGCTGCAGTTTTTCTACTAACCAGCACACAGTACATGAAAAACCTCTTCGTTTTTTTTGAAGAATTTTAAGGATTTATGAGATTAGCAAAATGGGAACCCTAACAGTGCAGTACCTCCAGCTGGACCCAAAGTGCTGAGTTTTACAGTTTTGCCTCTGATAGTTTCTTGAGTCAGAAGTCTTTGGTGCTACTACCAAACAGGACGGTGTGAATCATTACACCAAATCTCTGTCTGTGGTCAGAACTTGTTTTTTTAACACTTTTCCTGTGATTTGGAAAGCTGATGACCTGTGGTTCGGAAGTCTGCTGAAGATGTACAACTAAAACGAATACCATTTAATTAGACGGCAACTTTAAATGTCACTTCTATAAGTGTGTTATTTTTTGTTTGTTTGTCTGTTTTTTTCTTACTTGTGGTGGTGGTGATGGTGGAGGGTTGTGGGGGGGTATTCAAATGGGTCATGTAAAACAAAGTTTCTAAACCGTTTTTAAGCAATTATTTGTTATTGTTGTTCATGCAGTTTATTTAGAGTCACTCGACTTCGGTTCATTTATGTACTCAGTTAATACTTTGTCAGTCATATCTAGTTGCATGAAGTGTCTCTCATCTATTTTGAGTGTATTGTCACTGTCCAAAGACACATTCAATCCGTATTCACACCCTGTTGTTTACTAAATCTGGCAAACGTTCTGCAAGCCCAGGTGGAATTTTTCTGTTTGTTAATCACTCGTGAAAATGAATGTCACATCCCAGTAATTGAGTTTCTTAGCACATATATAGTCAATATACTGGTATTGCTCAATTATTTTTTGAAGTGTTTGCCTTATTCTTTTCTATAGTGTAGTGGTTTACACATTTGCCAAGCAACAGAGTCATGATTCCTTTTAAGAGGGAGACAGAAATCCTCCAGGGATGCATCAGGAAGGGCATCTGCTGTAAAAATCTGCCAAATCAAATATGTAGAGCTACCTGCTGTGGCAACCCCTTGTGAATAAGGAAACACCCAGAAGTAGCTTTTGTTGCAGGGGGATTGAAAGCATCTGCATCCATACAGAATATTGTGCACCAAATTTTTGTAAATCTATTAAAAAAATAACAAACAGGTGTTGAGATTTTGAACTGCTTTCCTTGAGATTAGAAAAATGTTATTAACAGTGGAAGCAGCCATGTATATGATGGTGATGATGGTGTAGTGACTGTAAATGTAGACTGCGATGAGTCCAAAACACTGTTTATATGTTTATATGTTCACATAATAATATATATCCATCCTTTTCAGTTCATTGAAGAGTAAAGAGCTTTCCCCTGTAATTGGACACAAAGCCATCCAGGTCGCAGGTCCAACAGTACCCCCCAGCAGTAGCCCTCAAAGCAGCAGCCAGTCTCCCCACTCCACAGAGCACAGTCCACACACCCTGCGCAAAGGTCAGGGCCTCAGTAATATGTGCTTTCATTGACACTGACATTGAAGTTTTAAACATGTCTTATTCGTATTTCCACAGGTAACTTTAATATGACTATGGTGTGTTAACAGGTTCCAAGAAGTTGGCTCCCGTGCCTCCTAAGGTCCCATACGGCCAGTCTGGAGGGATGTCTGACCAGTCCACAGGTCAGCCGTCACCAGTCAGCCTGTCCCCTACACCTCCTAGCACCCCTTCCCCTTATGGACTGGCATGTCCTCCAGGTCAAGTACCACCGTCCTCCCCTGGGCAGACCCCACTGGGTACACCCCACTCTCTTTCGTCCCCGCCTTCCCTGACGGGGACACTCACCAAGTCGCGGCCTGCCCCTAAGCCCAGGCAGAGACCCAGCCTGCCCCCTCCTCAGCCACCCATAGCCCCTCCGGGGCTAACTGGCCCACCTGTGGCCCCAGTCCCTCAGCCCATGGAGCAGGGCCTCCTGGATGGACTGTCTCCTGGGGAGAGCATGTCTACAGGTAAACATCAACCCTTGGCAGCAACACCCCCACCGCCACCCCCACAGGTGGGGCTGCAGCGGCCCTCTCTCAGACTCGCTGTGGCTCTGTCCAATGGAGACGGTGGACGAGTGTAGGACTCTGTAGAACCTGTCACTGTAGACAAACCTGTCCCCTTTACTGACTGCTCCCAAACAAATGTCTGAATGAATACAAGTTGCCTTTTAGACACAGATGCCTGAGAATGATAAGAAAATGTAAATATTAGCATTTCTTGTGCTACTGTAGTAAGGAAATCTCTTGAACAATGTATTCATTGCTTGTGTTATGTGATGATGTTTCTGGGTAATGTGTGGAAACATCAGAGAAGCATAGCTCGTCCTGCTTGTATGAAAGTTGCCATTAGATTCATCATGTGCTCTCTGTTTATCTGTGTTACCCAGACCCCCACTTGGCAGAGGTAGGTCAGAGGCTTACACAGTTCACACCAGTCTAGCATCTCTTACTGGGTAGCAGGAGTGGAAACCTAGCCAGACAAACCCAACGATAAAGCTACAATATGATGTTCTCAAACTGAGGTGCTCTGTCAATATATATACACCAGTGATTTTGTCACTTTGTTATATTTATCATTCTCTTGTTCCCCCTGCTACTATTGTGTACTTTGCAGCTGTGTGAGGCCAGGGATTCAGTGTGGGCTAAGTGTGAGGGGGACTTTTAGGGTAAGCCAGACCGCCCCCGCCCCATATACTCCATCTCACTGCCTGGCCTCGTACCGTGGATGCCTCTGGGGTCTCCTGCAGCCTGCCTCAAACATACCTACCCTGTAATGCCCAATCATAATCCCCGTCCTTTTTTAGCAGGTTGGCTGTACTTTCCTTGCACTGTCTTCAACCAATAATGCACGGCTTAAGGACTTCCCAGAGTGCATCACACTGCGCTCACATTGCAGATGCCATTGCTTACAACGGTTTCATCTTAAAGCCCCTTTCCTTTTGTTCCCCATTCCCAGCCCTATGCTGGCAGACATCTCCAACGCCCCTGCCACTCGTATCAGGGGGGTCACAGGTAACCCCCACTCCTCCTTTGGCAGGTTCATCGCTTTTTATAACCTCTGCTTCCTCTTACTACACTGCCACACTCCATCTCATTCCGACACAGGAGTAGCCATCCGTCTCTGTTTGGATCTGCCGCTTCCATTAAATGGAGCAGCACGTAAGAGTATCTATATTCACAGCAAATACTAATTTCAGTCCTCTAGAGATCTCCATTCTTACTTTAAGCCCACTTGGTGTCTTGGTGCCATTTTCTTTCCAGAGAGTTCCACACACATCCTGTTGCCTCCTTGATGTTTATCTGTCCACTGTTGTAAACATGTAATTTGTCACTGTGCAGTCATTTTGACTTGTTATTGCATTTTATCTGACAGAATATCTGTTCTTCCTGTCTCAAAAGACACAAAAGGCAGCGACTCGCTACACTAGCCTCTACCAAGTTTATTGACATAATCAGCACCACACTGTAAAATGTGAAGCACACGTAATCTACTGATTCCTTCGATCATATGCCACTTACCATGAGTTCAGACTCAAAACAATTAATATTATTTCTGCTCTCTTTCATTTTTACACTCCATTTTCATTGTCATATTGCCCTCTCCTCCTCCTCCTCCTTTTCCCGGTGCTCATTATCACCATCCACACTATTCTGCTCACCATACTCACCTTTCCCACCCTCACCATTAGATATCTTCAATTATGAAATCCCTTCCATCAATGTCAATCTGGACAGCCTCATCGATGAGTTCAGCGGTGCCCCCTGCAGGAGGTCCATGGCAGTGACAGATCCAGAGGGGGATGGTGTGCCTGAGGAGGATCCCCAGAGCACCACTCTATGACCTATCACCCATAGGCATCATTTCCAGAACCCCTATGGCTGTACATACTCTTTAACTGTCTCCGCCAAGGCCCGATGGAAAAACACTGGCCGCACCATTGCCAACCAGAAAATGAACCCTCCCTCACATCTGCTACAGGCTGCAAACAAACTGAACTTTTCCAACTGCTTGCTAGTAAATTAGTGTGACTACAACTACCAAAAGAAAAAAGAAAAAAAAAACACACCAAAATGCCATAGTGGAGGAACAGTTGCCTTTAGGAGGAAAGACTGGAATTTAGATGAGTATTGCATTAAAAAGATTTTTTTTTCTAATTTCTTTTTATAGCTTTGCTTTGTCGTTTAATGCAGTGGTCTGTATTTCTGTGTTTTCAAGTTTCTTTTTGCCTTATTAGAACATGCAATCAAATTGCAATATGATATTTGCAAGTTGTACAATATTTGGTTAGGGAAACTCAGAGCCTGACATGGTTTGGAGCAAAGCCCATCCTCAGGGTGAAACGGAAACACGGAGCGAGAGCGTAGTCGGATTTTATTGCTCACAGGGTATTCAAGCTTTGTGCACATTAGGAATATGCGGAGCCCCAGAGACAGGCTTTGCATGCCAGAGTAACATTTAACGTTGTTTTTCTTAGTGCCACTCCCCATTTTAAATTCCCCTCTTCTGTCGCAAGTACAGCTACAGTGCTCTGTCTGAAATTTACCTTTAGGTGAACTCACTTTAACTCACTTTATACCAGCACAGTAAGAGAAGAATGTTATTATGATTCAAGTTTTTGTACTTCTTGCATCCATTATTTATTTAGAAAGCACCACGACGTGTTTGCATGACAAGCCAATATCGATCGACCTGCTTCTTACCAAGGGCCTGAGAATGGCAGTGCTTTATTTTGTGCGAGTGTTACTGTTGTTGTTCACACCGAAAAGTAACTTTAGTTCCCACCCCAGTGCTGTAACAGTGAGTGATAACGGATGGATGACTACACTGCCTTTAGGTTCGTATGTCTTTCTCTTTTAACTTTGTTTCAAGTGCTTCAGGTTCAGTGACCTTTGACCCCTTGTGTAAATACAAAGACTGTACATAAACTGATGTATATAAGCTGAGAGGAAAACTATATGTAAAATGCATATCTCGAATATATAATAATGATATATGTGCTGATATTTATTGTGTAGAAAATGTAATGATTAAAAATTTGATGTTATTTTTGTCCCGACACACAATGAACAGGTTTACTGTAGAGTCATAATTTTTTCACTTTAACACCAGGTAACTATGATGCTGCAGCAGAAATGCAGAATGTTTTTTTCTGCTTAAAGAAAAAAAAATCAAATGTGGTCTTTCTAATTCTTCCTCTTAAGCTTTGACTTCAGGCATGCTAAAGGCCGAAGGAGTTGCACACAGATGCCATCTTCTCTTCTTTTTTGTTCGAGTAAATGATTTGTTTGCACGGGCCATCTAATGAATTCATAATGAGGACACATTTATCGCCTAAACTGCTGTTGTTAGTAGTAAAATTGGCGCACGTTTAAATTTGAAATAATTGCCCTTTGCTGTTATTTTCAGACAATTAATGATACAAATTTATCATGTAACAGATGCTGCAGTGGTAGTATAATTTCCTTCAAAGATTCCGAGGACAATAACGTTGTCAGTTAAAGTGCAATTACAGTGTTTACTCATCCATGAGAGTCCAAAAAGTGGTCAAAGTCACCTTTCCCGAACCTGCAGAAATAAGCCATTAATTTCATTTGAAAGCCTTTTTGATTATAATTATTATTATTTTATGTGTGAATTAATCTCTGCCAAAATTAATTATAGATTATTCTCGCTCCAGAAGTAATCAACTGTATGCCTCAGTGTGTGTTCTCAATGGACTTTGTTTATGAAGATTTTAGTGATGTTGATTATATTGATAGTTGTGGTAATTGTATGACAATTGCAAGTGCCCTCACACCGGTTGTTATTTTGGAACTATAGACATAATTAATGTGTGCTAGAGGATTTAATTTTCTGTGCTGGATCCATACATTTATACAAGGAGGCAGGTTTGTTTCTGAATGTGACTGACTCAGATCTCATATAGCAGGCTACCTGATTTTGTAATACCTAACAGGACAAGTAAGAGTTAGCATTGGACAGAAGGTTGATTAGGGCCTTATGGCATGTATTGTTACCAGTACGGAGCAGCATAAATGTAACGTTTTTGTGAATCATTACTGGAACTTGGAACCACTTAAAAGCATGCATATATAGGTGTAATTATTATGTTGCCAAACAAGAGAAAAAATCTGTACCCTTCCCCATAACACTAATCATAATTGTTTAAAAGAAATATTACGACAGTAAATTAACAGCAGATTTCAAGTGCATATCCATCGGTTGCAACAAAGTTGCATAGGTTTATCATTTAACTTAAGTTGGCCTATATTTCCTAACTCACCTCATCATCAAGTATGTTGAAAAAGTAAAGCCCAGTTTGTTTGCATTTTTTTGTGTGTGTGCATGTGTGTGCGTGCGTGCATGGGTGAGAGGGTGGCGTGAAAGAAAAGCAAAAAAAAAAAAGTAAAATGTGAAAATGTGTTTCATGCATGCGCTTAGATAGTGTTTTGATAATCCATGTTTTCTGTCGATCACAATTTTCTTTATGGATTGTAAGAAGGACCATGAATAAACTCTAGGCCTGTAGATGGACTCTAGAGAATGTGGATCGTTAAGACAAATGGTCCTTTGTGGGTTTCAGAGCAATACGGTAGAGGAGTAGACGTTGTCTGTGGATGTACTGCCTCCTTCTGCTTTCACTACTAATGTACAAAAAAAACTTGCTGCTTGTCAAGCCCACCCGTCCCACCCCTTCCTCTGCTTAGCATATCAAGTGGAACACAGTGTGTACTGTGAAGCCTACCTGCAATCCTTATCAGAATGTCAGAAAGAAATATATATATTAAACTCTACATTTTTAATAATCTCACCTGGTTAACGTGGGTTTTATTTGATATACGTCTTGTTATTTATAAAGTGAATATTTATAAAAGTTCCTTACCTAGTTACAATTTTAAGGTTCCTATTCAAGTTGTAATTGCAATTTGAGACACGTCCATGTTAGTTTTTCTACTTTTCTAGTGCATATTTCTCTACTACATTATTCTATTAGACCCCATGCAAAATTTTACATATGACAGAAACCATCTTTATTTCAGTAACAGCACATAAGAAAAAGCTGATGGTTAGCTTTTGCATTCTTTTAGCGTGCTAGCTATGCTAACATGTCGACTGCCACTGTCCAAGCTTCAATGTTATGGTCACTGATGTGCTAGCTAAGTTAACTAGTGCTAAATTTCAAACAAAGTAAATAATGTGATGCTAGTGGAAGTTATATTTTGGTTAAGTTCACTTTGTAATATTTTTTGTTGTTGTTCACATGATTGGGGTGATACTGATGGCTAATATTAGGCACCTGTTTGCCCGATGTTGGAGAGAGGAATAATGGGTTCTTATGTGTTTTTGTTCACATCAATGTCCCTTTTTCTGGTAAATGGACTGGTACTTGCATAGCACTTCTCTACTCAAACTGATCAGTCAAAGTGTTTTTTACTACAAGTCACATTTACCCAATTACACACATATACAAGCAATGTTCCCTCTAAGCTGCGCACGTGTGCAATTGCGCACAGAAAATCTGCGTTGCGCGCACAAAAAAAAATCTAACCTGAATTTAAATTAAAATTAATACTTTAACAATTCTGTTTTGCAGTGTTAGTCAGTAAGTGACTAGCTGCTCCGATATGGGATTAGAACAATGCCACCTTATCCCATAGTCCAGCTAATAATGAGATTCACATTCGTATATATGCAGCTAATCAACGTCGTTGACAGGCTATGACAGCGTCCTTGTGTGCAGACACCGGGGTTTTAGCTAGCAAAGCGGCTGATGCGGAGTGAAGCCACGTTAATCACAACGTGTACAACCATTGGAGATGTGAGCAGGACAGACAGAACAATTGACTGAAAAAGTGTGGACTTTATACCAGATTTTATATTGCGTTGATAGGCCACGTAAAACCGGAGTTATGATAAAAATATATGCAACGTTTGGTTTTCTTCCTGAATACTATCGTTGTTTATATTTACTGTGGGAAGAAACGGTAAAAACTGTGTTTTATAAGGAAAACCTCGAAAGCGCTCTCCGCCTTTGAGCAAAAACAAAACCAAAAAACCCCCAACCTTTCCTAGTGGTCAAAAAATATACCATGTCGACCAATCAAAAAATGATATGGCAACATGGCATTTAGTTGTTTAGGAAGGGGGAAGTTTTAGGAGTGACGGCGGTGTCTTGAGATTGAGTGAGAGATTTTCGACGTTTAACGCAAATCTTGTGCAGTTAGTGTGTAGTGTAGTCAATAGTTTTGTTGTGTGTGTCAGAACAATGAGGCCACTACTGAATGTTACAGGTGTTACAGGAGTGATACATCTCCTGTTGTCAGGCCTGCAGGTATCAGGCTGTTGTTCTTCTTTATCTCATAGTGGACAGAAATTATTTTTTGGAGTGGCACAAATAATTTGTGTGGCATCAAATTTGATGCAGAACACCTGATTGTTCTATAAATAGTTTGAAATGTTTAAAAAAACGACTTGGCTGCATTTTTAGGTAAACAGCTGCAAAAAACTTTGATGTTTGCATAACTCAGTTACTTTTTTGAAGAAGTAACTATATAATTAATTGCCCAACATTGGTCATTATATTCTGTATTCTGCAGACAGAGAGTTACAGGACTCTCTCCCAGACCACAGACTCATACCTATAACACAAGTCAGAGCTTTTTTTTTCCTTTTTAAAAAAAAAAAAAAAAAAAGAAAGTTATGTTTTCAAATTTGGAGTTCAAGTTTTTACTTCCAATAGTGTTAACATACTACACAGGTCATGAACAAGATTTTTTAAATTTTCATTGTAAGTGGGCTAAAGCAGTTAATTAAAAGTAGTCTAACATAAATGTAAATGCTGTAATTTGATTATTTTAATAAACCATGTAACTTGGATGGATTCGATGCTGGCGTGACCACAGTGCACACGTCTACTGTTGCTCACAGTGGTCCAAGGGACCGCTCAGGGAGTTTGTGTGTTCGCTCAGACACATGAAAAATTAGAGGGAACATTGTATACAAGCACTTTTTTCTATACCTCACATTCACGTGCACATTCATGGATGCATCAGGGGGATCTCAGGCTTCAGTATCCCAAGGATACTTCAACGATGTATAACGACCTCCTGACTGATAGACAACCCACTCTGCCCTGTTTTTTTTTTAACTCAAATTCATGCTCACATTTGAGTGAAGCCAGATTGAAGCCCTTGGGGAGGTCATCTCTCTCCTTTTCAGTACACACCAAATCCAGCATGTCCAAATTAACACTGTCAGATTTGATTTCAACACTATTAAAGTGTCTATATGGGTCCACACCAGAGAGTGTTAATTTAACTCTTTTTGGAGAGTTGGTATGTTAACTCTGATTTAGTGTTAAACACCAAATCTATCTGGAGTTGATAATTTAACACTTGCTAATGCTAACTAGGTGTTAAGAGTTTATATATTAACTCTCAAGGAGTATTTTAGTTTAACTACATAAGAGTTATCTTCTAATTAATTATAAAAAAGTGGAAATTTTACTGTTCTGAACTTCTAGAAATTCCTTTGGAAATAAACATATATTAAAAAGATGCAATGGTTTTTGAAAAACATTTATTCTGAACTGTGCACCACAATTTCTAAACATTTTCTGAAAGATGTAACAATGTACATGTTCTCACTTTCATTAGAATTTTGTTTATCAAAAGGTCTGGCATAGGTGAGCTGGCAAATGCAAATAACAGCATTCTCATCACTTATTTCTTCAATACAATATGCATGTCCTTCATTCATCACTTTGTGGAACTTCAACGCACTTCTGCTGTCCCCCATATTCCACCTTCATATTCACAGCATATTTTGTGTGGAGATTGATTAAAAATTGATTAAAAATTAGTTGACACTAATTAATTGCACAAATAATCTGGTAATCAATTGCAGCACAGTAAAAAAAAGGAATCATTTTTGAGCCATTACTTGTGTAAAGTATTTTCCCAAAAGACAAGGACACAGGCAACAGGTAATACTGAACTAAATTTAAAACTCCAACCTTTTTCATTTTTACCTAAACCGTGTGCACAAAACTCTGGAGGGATCTAAATGCTAACGTAGAACCCAGTCAAGACATCTGCTACTGCTGTTTGCTCATTTTTTTTATGGGAGATCGTTTTCAGGCTTCAAGTAGCACCATTATACCAACATTTCACATTCTAGACATTGTTTTAGGTGTATTTAAGTTAACCAAAAATTTGACTGAAAATTCACATGTAAGCTTTTTTTCAAGGCTGTAGTATTTGGCTAGCTAAAACAGATTATTATGCTATCAGCGAGCAACATGGCTAATGCCTTTCACACAGCTTTGTCTCAACTCCAAAGAGCCACAGAAGTAAAAGCTAATAATAATAATTGAAACAATCTTTGAAAAAATGACTTACCAAGCATGGCAGACAACTCAAATATGTAGAGCAAAATGGGGGCGGAGTCTGTGAATTTACTCTATTAGTGTCATAAATATCAGCACAAGCAGGATTCACTGCACTGTTAATGTTAGCTATGTTATATTGCTGCCTCTGTTAGGTGGTGTCGAGCTGAACGGACTTTAACGTGTGTTTGAACGAGCTGACGGTTCACTCGTTAAGCTGAAAGAAAGATGCTTTAATCACAGGAGTCACACATGTGTCCACTGTACCATCTGGGAACTCTTCTTGTTTAGCACTCGTAATAACACAAACACTAAATCCTCCTTCTCTGGTGCTGATTTGTAGCAGTGTATACACCTGAGACTGTCACCTGTCTGTCTGTCCTGCACTCTCTCTCGTTTTCTTTCTCTCTGATTGTGTAATAAAAGTATGAACATGTATTTATAAGTAGGGGTGGGCGATATAAACGATATACGATAGAAACGATATAAATTTGGCCAACGATAGAGATTTTGACTTATATTATATCGCTCTATCGCGATAGCGCATGTTGATGATGTCATCAAGCTGTGCCTGTTTTGGTCGAAAGCATCGCAGCGGCTCCAACCATTATCATCATGTATGATTAGAAAGAGAGAAATGTTGTAATGACATGAACAAAGTGCAGTATTCCAAGATGGCATCAGAGTTTTA